AGGAGGCTTCCATCTCACTCCAAGGGCTGGGCACGAGGCCCCCGGTTCTCGAAATATCCCTCTACCCTTGGCTCTGTCCCCCGACCCAGCCCTGGGCAGGCCGAAAGGCCACGTCCTTCTCGTGTCTCCCAGACTCCATCAGGAATCCGGGGGACAGGAGAGACATCCTCTCCTCTCCCTTGGGCCTGGGCGCCCCTCCTCCCTCACCTCCCTTCCTGTCCCCAAGCAAGATCCGCAGACCGCAAGCCTGAACTGGGCTCAGATGTCCTCACGTCTCCTGGAGCACTGTCACTCACCCTGGGCGTCCCTTGCCATGGCGGCATGGAGGACCCCATGGTCCAGCTCTGTGTCTCACCTCCACACGCCATCGGCATCCCTGGGCTCCATCGTCGTCATTGGCCGTGTTTTTTTACCCCGCACAATAACCCCCAAGGGTTCACTGACTCCCCTGAACGTGCTGGGGAAGCTGGCCGGGCTGTGGGGACCTTGGGGCCTTCAGAAGTCGTGCCCAGCACGTAGCAGGACGTCCCATTCCTCCGCCTGCCCCTTCCCCAGCCACCAGGTGCTGAGCCAGGATCCTCATAATGCCCTGCCCATTGGACCAGGGCTTGGGGCTTCCACACAAGTGGGGAACCCGCCACCGCACCCCGCTACTGGAACAATGGCATCATCTCCCTTGGGTGTCCTGGGGTTTCGAGTACCCTCTCTCTGTGTCATGCTCCATGCCTTCCAACATCACCGAGAAGCCAGGATAGACATATCCCTTTCTACAGAAACGATCCCGGCTCAGAAAGGCTGGACTACTGGCCTGAGGGTGCACAGCTTGTAAGGGGAGGATCTAGGGTCAGAACCTGGAGCTGCCCCTTTCCATCTGTGATCCTACCTCTAGGTTCAGCTGTGTCATTCGAGGCTGACACTGTCTAGTAAAACGCAATGCCAGCCTTAGACGGAATTGTACATTTTCTAGTAACTGCATTCAGAATTATTGAGAAGCAGGTGAAATTTAGTTGAACCAAAAATTCTGTTTAACCCGGTGTAATGTTGGCATTTCAAGACGAAGTCAGTGTACGAAATGGTTTTAGGTCACACGCTCGTATTCATACTAAGTGTCTTACACGCCCAAGACATCCTGCTGGACCAGCCACGTGTCAAGCGCAGAGTGGCCTCATATCCCTCGTGGCTGGCTCCTGACTGCCTGGCACGGGCCTGGACGATGGCGACACTACTTGCCTCGTGGCATGTGTGGGGACGCTGTGCCCGGACAGAGTGGGCGCTTGGTCAAGGTTTGCCCTCATTGGCGTCTGCATTGCAGGGATGTCGGACACTCCACGGTGCCCCTGCATGAGTGAGCAAATGTGTCACAGCCTCGCCTGAAACCCTGGCGGTAACGCACCATTCCTGGAGCCCCACCTGGTCCACGACTGCGTCGCCTTCCCTGCCCCCACTTTGGCGCCCACCGTGGGCGGAGTGACCCCTCCCTGCTGCCCAGAGACCCAGAGAGGGCAGCGGTCCCTGAGAGCTGTTTGCACAAAGCCCAGGGCAGCTGCGGGCGCTGGGCAGCTTCTCGGATGCAGGGCAGGGGCTTTCTCTAAAATCCCAGGTGGGAGGAGGGGCGTTTACTGGACGGGAGGGGTGGCTCAGCCCACAGGGGGCATTTTTCTCCCCAGGGAGCCGGATGACAGGCCCTCTCCTGTGCCCGCGCCCCCGCCAGACGCGTGCTGGTGCCAGCGTCTCGGGCGAGCCGTGGGTGGGAAGGGCCCCAGGCTGGGAGCGGGGATTCCAGGAGCCCGAGAGGCTCTGAGCCGGGAGTGGGTGGGCATGGGGCCTGGGGAGGGCTGGAAGCGCTCGCTGGGATTCCAGCTCCAAGCAGGAGGTGTAAGAAAGGCGTTTTGTTCCTGTTCTCTCTTCTTTAAAGGAGAGATTTTGGCACATACGCGAGTCTGTTTGCTCTGCCGTTGGTTCCAGGGGCAGAGAATGGATCGTGTCCTACACCCAAACGCAGGCGTGTGAGCACACACACACACACACACACACACACACAGCGACGCACATCCAACACACATGGACATGGGAGTGGGTGAGGCTCTCCCCTGTCGACCGGTAGGACGATTTGCACACACCTGATGTTCTTTGCCCAGGAATTTCTCACCACGACGTCTATTTGCCCAGTGACTCACTTCCAAGAGGTTTCCCCGAACGGTCTCATGGTCATTCATGGTCAGCAGCTGGGAGCTTGCTGGGGATGAGGTTTGCTACTCTCCAAGACAAATAAGGGCCAGCCTGGACAATAGAGCAAGACCCCATCTCTACAAAGATAAAAAACTAGCCGTGTGTTGTGGGGTGCTCACCTGTGGTCCCAGAGACTCGGGAAGCCGAGGTGGGAGGACCGCCTGGGCCCAGGAGGTGGAGGCTGTGATAAACTGAGATTGTACTACTTCATTCCAGCCTGGGTGACAGAGCGGGGTCCTGACTCAATAAATAAATAAATAAGCAAAGAAAGCGAGGTCCAGGGAGCCAAGGGACTTGCCGACACGGACAGAGCCCACGGCAGAGCCTGTACCCCGACCCCTCTATTCCGGGTGACAATGCCCCTGTCTCCGGCTTCATAGCCTGGCAGCTCTATGGGGACAGGGACTTCGTGCTTCTCCTCTCTGCACGAGTACTTGGACCAGGCAGGCAGGAGGCTAGATTGCCGAGGGCTGGACTTGGGTTCAAACGTCAGCTCCTCTGATTGCTAGCTGTGTGACTTTGGGCAGATAACTTAACCTCTCTGAGCCTCCATGCTCACGTCTAGAAAGGGGGAGAACGACACCTGCTTACTAGGACTGTCACGGGGATTTTAGGAAGTGCCTAGTACACGTGTGTGGGATGACCAGAGGCGCGTCTCCTGGCTGTGTGTGGGTGGCATCTGGCCCTTAACGGCAGTGCCCACCGTAGGCAGTCCCTCCCCCGCAGCGCACTCTGGGCCCTCAACAAACGCCAGAGACAGAGAAGAATCAAGAGGGGAGAGCCAGTGTCACATTCCCGACGCGCTTGGCTCTGTGTCTGAGCACGCACAGCCCCCGTCACTCCCTCGGTGGTGACTTCCCGGGCTGGTCCCGCTTCAGAACCTTTGCGCAATGTCATCTCAGCTCACAGGGAAGTCCCCCTCACGACTTTCCTGCCTCCAGGTTTTCTGGGCTACGCTCTCCTTTTCCTGCCGTAGGAACCTTTATCTTCATTGTTTCCATGAAAATCCCACCAGGCCCCTGCCGGGACCCGCGTTCCCTTTGGCTTGGGAGTCCAGGGCGGCGGAGGCCAGGTAGGGAGCTGGACGCCGGCTTCCGCGCAGAGCCGAGTCCCTGCGATCGTCTCCCAGCTCACACGGGGGCCAGAGGATGCCCCGAGGACTCAAGACCGGTGCACACCTAGGTCCCAGGAGCTCCTGGATCCTGACACAAGCATGAGTGAGCAGTCTGGGCTCCCCAGGCAGGGGCTGCAGCCCTGTGCTCCTCCGGGGGTCTTCCTCCTTCCAGCCATCTGCGTCCCTCCGGACTCCTGTGCAAAGTCCCCTGAGACTGAGCCCTGGCTCTGTCCCCTTCTGTGCCCAGCACCAGCTGCCCTGGGAGGGAACCAGGGCTCCAGTGTCCTGGCCCATCCTGAAAGCTCCCTTCTCCTGCCTTTGCTCAGAGCCCGGCCACCCTGAGCCTCTCACCTTTTCTCCATCCACTCCCTGCCCTCCCAGACGTGGCAACCTGCACAGAATCCACCCCTACCTAAAGGGACAGCGGCTCCCCGAGCCTGCAACAGCGGCTGACGTAGACCCTTCTGTGCCCCTGGAGGGAATTCTCAGCTTCCCATGACTAGGAAAGCTCCAGAAGAAAGGCTGGGGTTTGGCATCAAAGCTCCGAGCCCGAGTCAGGCCACTGGCTCCCCGTGAGACCCTGGGCAAGTCCCTCTCCTGCTCCAAGTGTCCGTCTGTTTCAGGCGTAACTTTTTTGGGGAGGTAGTTTGGGTCCGAGTTTTGGCAGGCCCTGGGCGAGGTCCGTGGATTTAGCCGTGAATCAGACAGACTCACCCCTGCTGCAGGGTCTACACTGAGGCGCTGGGTGGGTGACCCAGCCCCTGGCTCAGGCTGCCGTCGTCTCTGCCTCACAACTAGGCGAATCAGACCCAGCGTCTCTGAGCCCACCGGCAAGGAGCTTAGCCGAGGGCCCGACCGGGCGGTGGGATCTTGGACTCAGATGCCACCCAGATGCCCACCTCCCGCCTGCCCCGGGCTGTGCTCCCCGCTGCCTTCCCATTCCAGTCGGGCTCCCGCGGGCTGGTCAGTGCCGCCTCGTGTCCCGCGCTCCTGGCTTCTCAGAGTTCCCTCCCTTGGTCCCCTTCCTATGGTGTTCCCTATGGTGCAGGGGAGAGAGACACCCCCCAGGACGCCCCGGGAACAGCGGGCATCGCAGACGGAACCAAGTACACACACCACCAACTTTGGAGGACCGTGAGAGCCCAAGGGGGTGGTCGCCAGGGTCAGAAACCCTCCAGCGCCATTGGCTCAAGTGAGGAACTTTGGCTGAAACCTGGCGTTTTCCTTTTCGACCTTTCTTGGCTGTTTCCATCTCCCCATCCTTGCAGTATCCCCAGAGCTTGGCATCTCTGAGTTTTCAAACTCAAAGACTCTAGAAGTCTCCTAAAAATGTCCTCGCGTTACGCTCTCTGGGAGGACAAGTGACCCACCCAAGGCCACACAGCCATCCAGGCAGAGCGGGGTCCGCCTGGTTTCAGGTGGGGCCGGGGGATCCGCAGGACCCGTGGGGTCCGTCCCCCCCCCCAGGGTCCCTATCCCGGGCCCTGCCAGCTTCATGGGTCCTGGATGGCCAAGCCCCACCCTGGCCCTCACCCTTGTCCCCCGAGTGGGCGCCTTCCCGGCCCCCCATCGGCCCAGTCCTCCTCACCCCACAGCAGGACCCCGGGGGAGGAAGGCCGGGTCTGTCCCCCCGGAAGCCCCTTCAGGCAGGACTCACCGTGGCCAGGACACCGCTGGCGGCGGCTGCGGTCACTGCTACCAGCGTCCAGGGCAGGAACCACCTCATGCCTGGAGGTCAGTGGCACCGGTATGGACCGCGCAGCCCAGAGGACCGGCCACCTCTCGGGGGAGCTGGGCCCAGACTGGCCCGGCCCATGGGGAGCACCCGCTATGCCTCTTCCGCGGCCCTCGGGGGGTTTTATGGAAGCGAGATCTGACGTCAGGGTTAAGGACAAACCCTGCATTTTCCTCTGAAAAAACTTTTCCTGCCTCTCTCTCTCTTTTTTTTTCTTTCTTCCCTCTGTCCCCACCTCCGGCTGCTTGGCCGCCTCCCCAGCTGACAGCTCTTAAAGGGAAAGTGGCAAGGCTATGATTTCACACGGGGGCGTGAAATTCTCACAGAGGGGCTGGGGTCACTCCCAGAGGTGCTGCACCAAGGTAGGGGAGGAATGGGGGTGGGTGGGTGGAGATGGATCCCGTGACCCTGCAGGCCAGTGGGTGGGGCAGCCCCGCAAGGGCTTTGAAAAGACACCGGTAGGAAATCAACTCCCTCTCCTTCCGAGGGCTGCTCCTGCCTCTGGTTTTCATTTGTGAGTGCACTCCTCTCTCCCTGGCTGCGGGAGGAGGAGGATGACTTTCAGTCCTGAGATCTAGAAATGATAGGAATTCGCGAATGCCAAGAGCCCCCAGGCTCACGTTACAGCCTCACCTTGGCTGCCGAGGAAAACCAGGTGACCCGAGTGCGGGTTCTGCGCCCTCCGCCCTCAGCCAGAGGCCCGGGGTGCCCCAGCCGTCTCCACGGGTCTCCGGATGCTGGTCCTCCCTGTGGGCTTGGGAGTCCTGGCCCTCACCCCATGCTGCACCGAAGTCTCTTCCTTGTGCGAGAAAGGAGATGAGGCGGCGTCGTCTATGGCCTGCCCTGGTCCGGCCCGCCCTATCCGTGGGGAACTTGCCACAGCCCCCTGACCAGCTCCTGCTTCCCACTCACCCTCCACCTTCCGCGTGAACAGACTTGTGTCCACGGAAGGCACATAGACAGGACCCCACAAGAGAGGACGCTGGTGATGTCTCCATTTATTGATCTAAGGATGGGCCTCTGACCCAATTCTGGTCACTGAGACCTAAGGGGAAATCTTCTGGGGACTTCTAGAAAGGATTTTCTTTCTCGGGAGGAGAAAGAACGTCTCTGTTCATCCTCGTCTCTCCTTGGGCTCAAATGTGATGTTTGGAGCGGCAGCCGCTGTTTTGGGTACATGAGGCAGAAGCCTGCAGGTGAAAAGTCAACATCCTGAGGGTGGCAGAGCAGGGGAGGTCAATGCATCTGAGTCCTTGTGACTTTACGTTGTTACAGAACCAATCCTGGAACCCTTGCACTCAGACTTCCCATGACATGCATGAGAGGACTCGGTGAAGTCGCTTAAGCCACAGTCGGTCAGATTCATTGTTCTCTGGAGCCAGCATGCATACCAGCCGTTATATGAAAATTTACTAAAATTATATGCAAAGTACAAGGACAGGTGGTGGGGCACCTTGAACCTGCCCCGTAAATGCCAGTCTTTGTTTCTTTCTCTTTCACCTACCAATTCTCTGAAGTACAAACCCCAGAAGGCCGGCGTTGTTGATGGTCGTCCCCAAAGAAGTCACCCAAAGTGCTTGGTGCCGGGCGAGTCTCAGTGACCTTTGGGTGGACACCAAGTACGAACGGGCTCTGTGCTGTGAATGTCTCATGACCGCAAGGTGGGTGGCCCAGGGGACCAGGAGGAACGAAAACTCAGAGACGCTAGCCGGCTGCAGGGCACACAGACATTAGCAGGTCTGGGGCTGCAGTCATGTCTCTCAAGGCCTGGCCAGGCACAGAGTCAGGATCAGACGTTCCCTGATGTCGAGTAATGGAGGCTGCTAGGTGGAGCCCAGGGAGCACCACTGCCAATTTTAGGAAATTCCATTCCCAGGAGCTCTGGGAACAGATACTCCAAACACCACCACAGTGCCGACCATCCTGCTTCCTGGTGAAGCCTCCGATGGCCCAGTAGTTCCCGTAGGCACCTTCAGTACAGTGGACCCTGGAGAGAGACCACTGGGGGACCCAGGTGGTGGATTAGGAGACAAATGCCTGGGGGTCCCCCGGCTCTGTCACTTACGGGGACTTTGGACCATCAACAGTTTTTCTGCATCTCGGTTTTCTTTATTTAAATAAGATGATATTTGTGTCTGCCCTACAGGGTCTGCAGGCTGTCTGAAAAATCACCGGTTTATCCTAGCATTCCTGATTGGAGGAGCCAGACGTGCCACCGCCCGGGCCGTTGTGACTGGACTGTCATACATACCTCCCCCCGACTGCCTGGGGGTCCCGCCCGATCAACAGCTGCCATTTGGGGAGCGCCCACCGTGTCCCGGGTGACACTCTCCATCTCACGGAATCCTCACCTCAGCCAAGCTCCCATCAAACACTGTCGATCCCGTTCCGCAGATGGGGAAACCAAGACACTGAGCGATTAAGTTACATACCCCCCCCATTTAGCAATGCGTGATACGATTAGGATCAGAACTCAGATCTGCGGCTCCAACCATTTCCCCCAAGCAGACCAAGCTGCCTGACGTGTTGAACAAATGAATGAGTAAGCACAGGAATGAATGATCAGAGCGGAGGACAGATGGCTGGACGAGCATGTGGAAATGTCGGTGACTTGCACTGACCAGAGGGAGGGTTAGGACCGCACCGGTGAATCAGAGACGGAGAGAAGAAAACTACTCGGAGGCAGCTCTTCTGGGAACAGTCTGGCCAAGACTGAAGCCGATTTTATTGAAACCTTTTCTAACTTATATACCATTTTTAGACCCTCCAGCAGTGTGACAATCATTTGCTGGGGGCGTACAAATTCCATGCTTTACGAATCATGCATCACAAGACCATCACAAGATGAATACGTTCCAAACAAACTGTTACAATTTCCTGATGCATGTCGTGTTTTACAAAGCTTACATCAAAATTACAAATACATTGTTTTAAATCATTCAAAACAATTTAATAAATCATTCACATCATACTCTTCTTTTTAAGCCCTAATTAAAAGTTCCCCAAGTTATCCCTAAATTTAATCTAGTTATACTAACTTTTAATATATTAAGCCGTTAATATTATTGACTTAACACTATTCTATACTCTATAAATTTATTTAAATGGCTTGGTTTTATTGGCTTACTGTTATTAACTTACCATTATACTATAAGCTATAACTTATTACCTTGAGTTTATATTATTTATATTTATAGTTCTTATACCTACTATATTCCACACTGTCCTATGATTGTATATAAATTACCTATGATTTAATCCAATTTTACTAACTTTTAATGTTTTAAATCGTTAATACTACTAACT